GCCTATCACATGTTCGATCGTCTCATATGATTCGAGACAAAAGCTGCCTCGATACTTACGTATCGAGCAGCTATTAAACAGAATTCTTTATGATAAATCACGATAATTCTGATATAACCTATTAAATTTAACCACATATTGCAATAGATAATATGTTTTGTAAAAGAGTTTTTAAACAAAAAGAAACCAAATAAGATGGGTGGCGCGAATGCGCCACAAATTTGGTACTATGTACCTGATTATAAACTAATCACCTAATTTTTAATAATCACTGTGTTTAAACTGAAGATTTTCGCCCATATGGGTTGGAATTTTTTGAATTCTACTCTTTAAGTGGAAATTTTTTTAAAAAATATGAATTTTACAAATGAATGATCATCTATCGATCACGATAAATCTTTAAACTTTTATTTCACAAATTCTGATCTTTGAAAAGTATTTTACAATATTGCGTAAATTGATGCAAACAAGTGTATATTCATTTAATTAACTAAATTAATACGGATAAAATAAGTAAATATTCATAAACTTGATTCGTTTATTTTTACATTCATAAAATTAGCACGAATAATGCAAGGCATTTAATAATGATATACAATTTTAGCGATGGAATTAATTATCATAATTGATTCGAATTATTATTATTTAAACAAGTTGTTTTAGCTTTTAGAATATGATGTACATTTATTTTGTAAATCAATTCTCAAAAGTAAAAGTCGAAACAAAGTCAAAGATCAAAGAAAAATCAGAAAAATATTCTAATGTTTATAATTATTAAACATAACCACAACTTCGCCGGCAATCAATTTTCGAAGTCACATGTAAGCCTGCAAAAAATCAGCCTACCATTTTTTCTGGGTAAGCTGGTTCAATAAACGGTGAATATAACTTATCTTTTAAACAAAATTTATAAGGTTTGAGATTTTTTTTTTCGGGTTATTTTGTGTAGTAAATGTTGACATTACTTTAAAGCTATGAATTGTTTTTAACATGACGAATTTTTATTAGTGAAACATTACATTACTTAAAAGTACTTTAAAGTGCATAAATAAGTTACCCGGGCAATTGATTTACATTAGCCAATCAGAAGTATAAGTCAATTCTGCAGTTTCGGGGGAAAATTTGGAATTCTTAATTTCGAAAACTTCAGCCTTAGAAATAGATAATTTGAAATTCTTACAAACTATTTCTGAAAATGAAATTTCGGAAAATTAATAATCCCAGATTTTTTCTTGGCACCACTCATTTAATTTTTCGGCTCGATACGAAAAAGAAACAACACATTTAGAACACTACAAGATATTTTAACTGAATATGGAAATATTCAATAAAGTTATGTACACTCGGATTTAATTTTTTTTTCCGTATTTTTTTGACATATAAGTGTATTTTGATAAGGATAAATTCTTATTTGTACAAATTAATCGGAATGCAATTATTCATGCAGAAGTTCTTTTTTTTTAAGATTAGAAATTCACTTTAAATATTCATTAATAAAATATATAAAAAAACTATTTTATAAAGATATTGATAAAAAAATTCCGAATATGAATTATAAATCTTTTTTGCTTTTTTTCATGCTATGTTTAGTGTTTCACATTTCAGGAGAAGAGGCGTTTAAATGTCAAATTTAAAAAACATTTTTCCTCCAAGAACTCATGATTTGTATAACGAATAAAATTGTAGGGTGAGTGTAACATAAAAACAAATGGTAGTTAGTGTTGATTAACAATAACATTGCATTTGTTTGTAGAAATGTTTTGACGATTACTAAGATACTAAGATACAAAAAAGGCAATGATTTCTTTTAGTTTTAATTTGGGCAAAAGGCAACTTTTAAGTGTGTGCCACCGTTCTACAGTTTTATTTGCTTGGCTGTAAAACAAATACATCGATATAGTTTAATACAGTATTAAATTTAAATATTACACCTACTCTAAGAAGTCACGCGCTATTATAAAGTGTAATAATATTAAAAAAAATTGCCAACTTAATAAAATATTAAAATGTAATAGTAATAACTATTAATTATCAAAGAAATTATCAAAGAAATCATAAATATTAAACAGAATCTTGTAAACCTTGTATCGACATTTTTTTTTTTTTTTAGACAATATATCTCCAATTAGGATGTGAATCACACAAAATATCATCGAATTTTGGTTCATGTTCCACTAATCTTGCAGCTTTTTCCTTAATAAACTTAGTATCTTTTAATTCACTTTCAGTTAATTGAATCTTATTATTGGATAATATGGCCAAATCACGTTTCTTATTCACATATTCCAAATGAAATTTCATCCAAAAAGCTAAAACAAATTGAGCAACCATCGTACTCAAAGCCACTATCATTCCATTACTAAATGCAGGAGCCATAGTTTGCTGAAAAAGTAAAATTCCAATCACACCTCCAACATTACCGATAGTAAGGGCTGTTGCAATCGCTATATTACGTTTATATTGACCGACTAATTTAGAAATTAAGATATAGAGTATAGTAAAATTAGAATTTTTTTAACAAATATATATATTTTTTTATATTCATTTAGAGAAAAAAAAAGTTACTCACTAATATTGCAAGTAAGCCAACTGTAAACTATCGTTTGTTGTGTATATACACCACATGCTATAAGTGTTGTGAAAAAGTAACGTATATTGTGTAAATTTTGATCATTGGCAGATGTTCCTATCATTCCTGCACATCCTATGATGGCAATAATATCGGCAATCATTATAGGTAAAGCTCTAACTTGATATTTATCAGCTAACCAAGAAAATATAATCATTACAACAGTTGCTATTACGTATGGTGGTACGCTCATTAATTGAGTGTCCACAGGACTAAAACCAAGTTGACCCACTAAAGTTGGAAGGAAATAATTGAGGGCATTAAATGGAATTGATCCCAAAGTTGTAGCCAATACATAAACGTAAACTCTAGGATCAAGAAATGCGCTTTTAGCTTGAGATTTCATGAAACTACGATCTTCTTCGTCAACACCACCTTCTGGTCTAAGACGTTCAATGGTGTAAAGACGTTCTTTGGGAGTGAGAAAACGAGCATTCCCAGGTCCCTTAGTGAAAAATACTGCGACAACTAAGGCAAGAATGATAGTTGGGATACCTTCGATTAAAAAAATCAATTGGAAACTTTTTAATGTGGCCCCTTTTATTTGAACTATTCCATATGCCTGAATTAAGTTTGTTATATTAGTAAATATTAGTAAATATAGTAACTTATTAGCGAATTTAAAATTATAACATGTAATCACAAAAGTCATAATCGAAACTTACAAGAAGACCAGTAAATGCACCTGCGATAGTGCACAGAGCTATAAAGATGCCATACCTCATAGTCAATTCTTTTCTGGCATAAAATAAACATATATAATCTATAACGGCAGGAGAAAACCCAGCTTCTGCCACTCCTTTATTAATAAATTAAAAATTTTTTTTAGAAAAATTATTTTAACGCAAATAAATTATAATTATATAAAAACTGACCTAAAAGGAATCTAACAATGCCTAATTGAAGTGAGGTGGTAACTGATGCTTGGCACATAGATGTGATACTCCAGCACACCATTATGATCGGAATCCAAACATGAAATCCCAAAACTTTTGATAAAAGACTTGAAGGAATTTCGAAGAGCACAAAACCAAAAAGATGAGCAGATACGGCAAGATTAAATTCAAGTGCTGAGGATTGTAGGTATTTTCCTGAAAATCCTGCTACAATGGCGTTTCCTATGTTGGAACGATCAATTATCAAGAACAAGTACAATAAAGTACATATCGCTAATCAAATGAATTTTTTAGAATAAGTTAGTCAAGAATTTAGAAACTCACGGATATTATACCGATATATAATCATAATTGACATACGTAATAAATAAACATCAAATTTCCTGATAACCCTTTTCTCCATAGATGTATCTTCATAATCGTCATAACTCGCTTCTTCATGATCACTAACTTCAACTTCGCTTTTTTCTTTGGTTGCCATTTTTAAAATTTTGCCTCTCTATTATTCTATAATTAAGGTTTTTTATTATTATTTTTTTTTTAAATTGAATTTATGTTTACACGTTATGTCGAAACTGTCGACGATTGCATATACACTTAAATTTTACTACTTTATTTTTTTAATTTTTTTTTCTTCTGCTATTTAATAGCTAGAATGGAAGGACTTTCAGAGAGGGGAAGAACATTATATCGATGATCATATACATTTAATAAAAATTTTTTTCTTTTCGATATATTTTATTTCTTTGTAACACTTGATTTCATTTACAGATGGCATCAAATAAAACACAAATAACAAGCAATATAATCTAAGATGAATAGTCGTTTTAGAACAAAGATGTGTATTCTAGGATGTGTATTCTAGGCATGACTGCAATACCCCAGGTCATGATTTTCCCGATATATGCAATTAATTATAATTAAGTTAGTTTGATATTGCGTTGGACAAGTACAAAAGTTAGTTGTATTTTATATTAATGAAATATTTTGTAAATTGATTTGAGTGACATACACATGATATAAATGATATTCAATTATTTTGAATATTATACGTATAACGATAATTGGGTTCAATTATTTTGAATATCATAATTGGTAATTTTATTTTATTTGGTACACAATCGAATTTACGAATGTTTGTCGTACATACATCCATTCAGCAATGATTTTATGTTTTATTACTGTTATTGTTACTTTTATATTTAAGTGAAAAATTTTCAAAAAATATATCTGCATAACGATGAATAAATAATGAATATGGTTCATTGTACAATGCACGTCTTATGTATCTTTATCATGCTTATCATCATGATCTCTAGAAAAACAAAAAATATTTTTTGCCGCTATAAAATAAATGTCAAAACATATAATAGTAAATATTAAATCATTCGGATTAACTATATCCTTTAATTAAGTTCAAGGGGTGGACAAATTTAATGAAAATTTGACCATAAGTTTGTCCAGGCTGGACGAAAGATCATGTGTAATGTAATACATTTATTGTTTATAGGAATATTAAATAAAATAATGATTTTTTTTTTTTACAATATAATGTTATGATCTTGTGTCCTGATTGTATGATCTTACATTTCCTGTCGGCTACATCCGATACATGTGACAGGTAAATATTTGCCAGACTAACATGGATTTGGGTCGCAAAAAACTAGTGTTGTCGCATTACTATGTTCAGAAAAAAATTATTTTTGAATTGTCTATGAATGTCCATGCAATTATTATCTTGGCATATGGTAAATCCTTTATCTTTTTTATTGAATGGTTTAAAACAAGTTGTCATATTAAGGTTTTGAGCTATTAGTATTTCTTTTTGTGCAACATCACTTTTGCCCATACATGTTCATTGACAACACTGCCAGAACGATCATTAATGATTCAGTACTATCTAAAATATTACATCCTAGTAATGAAAGGTTTTGTAAAAGTACCGTAATTGATATTTCGTAAATTATCAAAACCATTAGTAACTTACCTTCGACGACTATGCGACTATGTTCGTATTCGTTGACGTCTACTATCCCGAATTTATGATATTATAATTCTGGGACAAACTAAAATTTTGCTCACTACCCGAAAACTTTTACGGTTCGTCCTGTAAATCACTTAATTCAAGCCTTCAATCCAGAGACAACAATGTAATTTCTAGAAAGTTCGAGACGAAACCGAAAAGATTTCAGGTAAAGTAATTTCAGCCAAATTTATAATTAACACCAACGTATTTGATAACTTATCCAATTTCTTGGATAACTTGCATCAATTTTGCAAACCGCAATTCACATATTTGGTTCTTGTTTAATTATGTGATGCTGGATTATAAAGCGATTTTCTTAACCAAAATTTGATAGAATAAAAAAAAGGTTTTTTTTATAATTTAAAAATTTCTATATTCAATTGCACAATCACGAACGTAATCGGACTAGTGACCCAAATGATAGTGAAAAATTGACTAGTTGGCAACTTTACAATTAATCGATTTAGAAAATTTTGAAACAATTAACCGATAAGTAATCAATTAAGATATCTGTCTATTCGGGCTGATTCGTGCGGATTCTTTAGTTTGATTGGCTAATCGACAAATTTGTCACATGTTATGAAAAATCGATTAGTTCCAAACCGGTTTGAAGCCTTTGATTGCTTGTGTGCTTTTATAAGCAAGCCAATCAGAATACTTTAACACGTACAGGCACATGCACATCATATGATAACCCGAGTTACACACCAATTGCATAGGAGGAACCGTCGATGTTACACGACTGATCCTTCGTGACATAAAAAAAATATTTTACAATACCAGATCATTTCGCTAGTATAATAAAAATAGTGTTGGATTATAATCATAACATGTACTATCGGAATGGTCCGGTATTGTAAAATGATTTTTTTTATATGTTGCACACTGAGTGAAGGACGGTTCCTCTTGTTTATTTCAATTCTGTGGCTTTCAGGCACGAAATCAAATATGTAATCGGTGTGTAACTCGGTTATTCACTACATACAGTAACCCTGCAATAACTATAACGTATAGATTTTAACATGTTCATGGTTATTTTAAATGACTTATAGGACCTTTATAACCTATTGTGGTCATTTGGTCATATTGAAAGTTGATAAGACTTTATGAGCTTTTGATATTATAATAAAAATTGGTTTTTTAATGCTTTAATATAATATAAATATATTACATAATCTAAAGTCAAAAATTACATAATTACATACTGTAACTAAAATTATATTAAAAAATATTTTACTTATCGATCGATACTATATTTGTACTTGTAATTATTTATTAGGCCACACAACTTATACTATCAGTTTCATATTATCAACTAACCTTTGGTGATTCAGTAACCCGAATTTTAATCTGGTTTTTTTTTTTTTTTAATAATATACGAACGAATTCAGTATTTTTTATTGGCATAGTCCTAAAATAAGATTATGGTGTGTAACTATGCAACATAGTCGTGCTTAAACCAAGAACATAGTAATGATCACTAGGCTCATATTAGGATCCAAGTATAGCGACTCATTTAATAAAATATAAAATGATTATAAAATTGGGTCATCCATGCTTAGGATAGGTTATGACCCATATAATAAAATATATTATAACATGCTATTTAATGTTAGGTTGACCCGTCCGAAACATTAAATGCAACGGTATACAATGAACTTTTAAATGAATAATTAGAGTTGAAACTAGTGAATTGATAGATTTATGTATAGGCATTTGATCTCATTAAAAGCCTACAATATTTTACAACAAAAGAAATAGCTTAAAAACTAGATACTGTCACGGGTGGATATAACATGCAGTGACAATATTAACTAATACAGGAGAAATTTGGTAAAATAACTCGCCAGAGATGTGGCTATAATTATTTGAGTCTTGTAATAAGTTTATTATAATGACTCAATACAATATAAGCATTTAAAGAAGGTGAAAAATATCTTTTAAGAACATTGATGAGCGAAATAAAAATATTTTCTACTATGTAGTGAAAATTAAAAATAGTTTTAATTAGTAAAAATTAGTGTTGCAATTTTGTAAAATGCAAGTTTTTAAGGCTGCCAAAAACTATAATTGATACAATTTACGTATTAGTCGCACCTTCTGAAGACTAACTAATTAAAGAATTTAGTAGAAAGGGACTGAACTTGGAAATAAATAATTAAATTTTGTAAAGATTTGATTTAACTTTGGTGCGAAAATTGATTTGCATAATGATAAATAATTTTAGGAAATTTGCACATCATTAGAAATAAACAGAAAATTTCCGATCACAATAAACTTGATTATCAGTTATTGGGGTCATATGCTTTCAATTATGAATCTCGCTGATTAGCATTTAAGCACTACTCATATTAAAATAAACCAGTACAAAATAAAAAAGATTAGAATGAAATTAGAAATTAAAGCTGTCACTATGTCGCAAGAACTCAACAATTCAATTTGCTTTCATTATATGATTATATAAACTTTTATTATAAGCATTAATTATTTTCTGACTAACCAGAGTGATATATTGTGATTTTTAGTAAAACCTTGTACGTACTTGTTTTTGGTATGTGTGTGGCGAGTAAATTTTTTTAAAAAAATATACATATAACCATTGGTCATTTAATTAATAGTTTTATGACCTGACCATAACCATTGTAATCGTCTTTCGGCGAGTCAGTCGCTAATCGGTCGGATCTCTCGTGTAACCTTTAGGGTCGGTAAATCGGGTCGAAAGAGGCGTGTT